CCAGCCAGCTCTTTTTCTTTTTGAGCGAATATGGAGGACTGGAGAAAATGTTGAGTTCAGCAAAGTTTGTCGTCTCACCAACGAAACCTTGCGTGATTTTTAACCCTGCTGTTATTTACCTATCCAGTTTGATTTACTGGCTGTTTCCATCTGATTATTGACTGCACTTAGCCTATCTTCTCGTAACTTTATCACTAAGAGAAACGCTGCCTCTAAATTATTATTTCTGCTAACTTGTTTCTAAGCGTTCTTTAATGTTTACCAACATAGAAAGTTTCTCACGTATTTATATATATATCTATATCAAAAGACCACCTATCGTACAGGCCTTAACATATGGTTATATCGAGACACTCGTACGATGCGATAACACTCATTGGTAATTTGGAACTCATGGCCAAACTATCTTTCGATTGAATGTAGGTCTTTTTAATTAACGAAAAGAAGAGAACGTTTATATTAAAATACGTAATATTTTCGTATCTTCACTCTTATCCAGGGGTGATAATCGTTTTCTTATTCTTATTTTTCCCTCCCTTTGTTCGTTTTTATTTTTCATGTCTAGGGTCTGTGCGGATGAATTTTTATTATACACTTTTTGTCTGAGGTTTCTGCGTATGAATCAATTAATTTTATATAACCAAAATTAAAAATTAATAAATAAATAAAAAAATTGGTTAGAAATCTGATTGGGACTTTTCAATTTTTTTGTGAAATATTACTTAATTTGATAAATATTTAGCAGCATGGGCGTCGGTTAGGGCGCTCATCACCGTGACGAAAACATAGACACCCCGGGGGTTAATATGATCTCTACTGTTGCGAACATTCGTTTAAGAAAAAAATAGCAGCAACAACACACATGCACGCTAACACAAAATTTTATAGTCTTTGCTAAACTTCAAGTTTTAAAGACGGCCGAATCGAATTTTAATTCTAAATTTATACTGGATTATAGATATTTTCATGTTAAGTTTTATCATGTTTTCTATTTTAGAAATTTTTAAGCGGTTTGGTTATAAAAATAAGACATTTTATTACCTAATTCTAAAAAACAATTGTTGAGTAGAAAAAATATAAAAAACAAAAATGTAACAAAACTTTTTGTCCCATTTAATACCGAGTATTTCCACCTCTGGCACGAATCATGTCCGTTAAACGCCTTAGCATTCCTTTACACAGATTTCTCTTAAAATCCTGAGGAATTCTTTCCCATTCATGAAGAACAGCCGATTCAAACTCTTCTAGGATGTTAGGACCTAGTTTCATTGTCGTACACGTCGTTTAAGTTGGTCCCAAATTTGTTCGATTGGGTTCAAATGTGGACTTGGAGCTGGCCACACCAAGCACTCAAGTCCAAGCTCATTCAGGTAGTCATCCACAATAAATGTTCTATAGGGCCTAATGACCTGCATTAGCAAGACTCTTTCGCCGATGTGGGGGACAAATATGTTGTTCTTCGATTATGTTTTGCCAGCACCTCCGTGTAGTTAGAGAACTTCCTTGCACAACAAACAATTATGTGTGGGCGTTTAAGAAAATTACATCCTAGAACATCAATGACGTACAATTTGTTAAGGTAAATGGAATGTGAACATTTGACTTATTTATCCCCGATGTAGTGTTTTGAAATAAATTTTTTATCTAAGGAAAAATAGAGGATTGTATGCTTTTAGGTGCTTTTTTGCTTACATAAATTTTAAAAATCGTGAATATGTTTATTTTTATCCGGAGTTTTACTTATTATTTTATTACTATTTTTTTTTGGAAGGGGAATAACAGTAATAGGCAGAATCAAAAAGAAAACTTGGGACCATTCATACAAGAAGAGTGATTCAGAAACGCACAGCTTGCACGTATTGCGGGTTTAGCATGAAGTCGTTTTAGTAGTTTCTCCGCAATATCTTATTTTCGTCTCCTTTACTTTTGTTCTTTATTATCTACAACTAAAGGCTGTAATCTAACTGTCTTACGGGATTACACCCAATATGTTATTATAAATACAGCATGTGTAGGTTTTTTACCTTAGTAGTCGACAAATAGAAAATGTGTTGGGGGCGTCGGTGGCCGCAACGGTTTAAGCATTGACACGGCGTTCATCACTATAAGGTTAAGGTCCCGCGTTCGAATCCAGTGGCCCTGCATTCCAACCCGACATACTTACAAATGTGCTTTTATTAAAAAACACTGGCACACCGAGGGTTGATATGTCCTCTACTGTTGAAAACAATTGTAAAAAAATAATCTATAACTCTATTTTAAAGTTTCAATTTTGTTCAATAAAAATCTCTCCTGATAGGCAAAATTGGTTAATTTTAGTACATTGAGTAGAAAAAAGAATGAAAGATTTATCAAGAACTTTTTCAACTTTTTAATTAACTTGGCTTGTTTCTTGAAAAAATGTTATTTAAACTTAGAATTGTTTTATATTTCCTAACGAGAGTTACATTTTCAAATAGTAAATTTTAAGACCTCAAAGAAATAGATATTTAAATTTTCCCTCAGCTATTTATTATATAAAATACACTGATAAACATCGTAATTAGTAACTTTGGTATTAACGTTATGTGTTTGTCGTAACAAATAAAGGTAAATATTGGTTTTGTTGCTTCCTTATAAGTCGTAACTAGTCTTATGTCGAATCTCAGTCTGTGGTGTTTTGAGGCCTTTGTGTATTTTTTTTTAGCTTTTCTCAACAATTGAGGCCAGTTTTCATGGAACAAAATACATTCATAACTTCAAATATTAAGTGTTTTTGGTAAATTATAAATATTTAAAAATTGGTTTAGGCGCTTTCTTATGAAGTATTAACGTCTTCTGTTTCTCGAGCTTCACACTGTGAATACAGTAGATTAAGTTTCTTGAACAAATAAGCCACTTATGTTAAGTAAAATATATTACTTTCTAATAATATTAAGTGTTGTTAATAAAAAATCAAGAAAAATAAAAATAAACCATCCGTCTGTTTTTTTTTTGTTTTTTTTGTACCCTTGGTACTTTGCACATTTTAGCACTTTTTTCCAACAATTCAGGCACTTTTAATTATTCAAAATGTGTTATTATTAAAAAAAGTGAAGATAAAAATTTGCTTTGATGATTTCTTATCTATACTAACTTTGTTTTCCGTTGCTTAAGTCGAACCTCACTGTAGAGGCCTTGTTGTAATGCACTCTCAACACGTCACACAAGAATGACACATCTACACGGAAAACAAACACAGCAACAAGCAAAAACAAAAACAGCCCTGAAGATGATCTCAATAAAGATCGAAAAGTTGGCACGAAAAAGAATTTTTTTTTCTAAAACCTACATCACACCAGACCGCATCTCACGATCTCCGAATAATCACTGTAGAGTGAGTTGATCCTTGAGTTTGAGGCATTGTATGTTTTTTTTCTAACAATTCAATCACTTTTAATTATTCAAAATGTGTTATTATTACAAAAAGGAAATATAAAAATTGGCTTTGTTGGTTTCTTATTTGTACTAACTTTGTTGTCCGTTGCTTAAGTCGAACCTCACTTTAGAGTGATGCTTTGTTGTAATGAACTCTCAACATGTCACACAAGAATGACACACTACTCGGAAAACAAACACTTTGAGCCCTGAAGATGATCACAATAAAGATCGAATCGTTGGCACGATAAAGAAAATTTTTTTCTAAAACCTACGTCACACCAGACCGCATCTCACGACCTCGAAATAATCATTGGCTAACGGTCACTAAACACCATACACTAATAAATTACATTTCTACAAACAGAACATATTATATGATACCCTAAGGTACTGCCAATCCGTGCTCACTGCCAAGCTCTAATGTCACGCATAAATCAGTACAGACTCAGCAGCTCATCTTTCTTATAATTTTCTACATCGTAAAATATACTCCTTATTTATGCCTTATTTTCTGGTGCATAATGGTATCTTTATGTACGCGATCTTTTTCCTGCCAACTCATGTGTAAGCCTAATATGACCTAGGCGTAGCCTCTTAAGTATGGCCCTTTCCTTTTCGATCCGGACTCCACAGGGACCATAGCCAGTCCATCTGGCGTAATTTGGCAGTTGGCAGGGGTCTACAGGGCACAATCAGGGCTGGCAGGGATTTCTACATTGCTCATGCTGTGCAAGCCTGAAATACTGTACGCGGCACCGGTGTGGACTCGTGAATTACGAGCGAATGATTGGGTGGTATTTGAACAAGTCTAGCGCGCAGCCCTGCTCACCGTCACCCAGGCATGTAGGACGCCCTCCACAGTAACTCTGCAAGTCATTGCTGGCCGCCCGCCTATCGGCCTAAAAGCGAAAGCTCTGTGCGCCAAATGAGAAATAAGGAACGGGCGCCCCCTTGCATTCTTGGTACGAGCAAGGAAGAAGCAGATGATTGGATGGTGAGGGAGTGGCAGCTAAGATGGGACGATTCAGCTAAGGGATGTCACACGTACCAGCTTCTCCCTAACATAGAAAATCGACTAAAGATGAAGTATCTAGCCATTGGCCATTACATGTCTCAGCTACTGACAGGACATGGAGATTTTGCTTCAAAACTCCAAGCCTTCAGACTCAAACCAAGCCCGATGAGCGAGTGCGGGGAAGAAGAAACGACGGAACACGTCTTACTAACATGTGAAAATCACATCGTTCTCCATGTACGCTGGCTCTTTGAAACAAATCTCACGATCTCCACGATAATCTCTGTAGAGTGAGTTGATCCTTGCGTTTGAGGCTTTTTATGTCTTTTTCCAACAATTCAGCCACTTTTAGTTATTCAAAATGTGTTATTATTAAAAAAAGGAAAGATACAATTAGTTTAAAAACTTTTCTCTACTATCATAAAGTGTTATTAGTTGCTTACATTTTTACCTTGTGCTCAATTCTCTTGAGAACAGACATTCCCGCAAAAGCAGGATTTCTGTTGGACCTGAGGAAATTCGACGACTTCAAACTAGATCTTTTTCACCAGGTCCCTTACCGTCCCGGAAGAAGGAAGCGATGAAGGGTCGCGCAGGGTCCTTTCGTCCCGCCTGTTGTCCAGGGTGTCCAGAAAACGAGGAGTCTATCTGGTGGGGATGAACGAGAAGAGGGGAGCCGGGTGAGGTACCGTCTTCCAGGAGGATCCTCAGTCCAAGAACGGACAGCCCGCTTACACGACCACCGCCCTCGTTGGGGAAGAAACCCCGGCTCAAGAAGAAAACGAGGTAAGTCAATTCTGCAACATAAAAAAAAATTGAATACAATTCGCAGGATGATCTTTCCATTCTTGTAAGGACATCCTTTTATTGTTTTTTTTAATCAATTTTAAACTTTTTTAAAAATACATCTAGATGATATTTTTCTACATTGCGAGCTTTGTTATTTGTAATTGAACGTAAGCGGATAGAAGTGAAAGTTTTTGTGTTTATTTTTGTATCAATCCCGGATCACATGGCCGGCCCATCGATTTCGCCTGTTGGCTCTTTGCCGCGCAAATGTTACATAAAAGTCCTGGCCACCCCCTCGTCTCTTTCGCGGGCGTTCCATTTTTGCATTTTAACACGTCCAGGTTCTCAAAAATGTGCAACCGGTCTTAGAAAATTACCCAACGTCTTTCGTCCGGAGGTGACTGCAGATTTATTTTTTTCAATCTTTCCTCAGGTTTAGCAAACAATTGATCGAAGACGTGAAAAGGGTTTAAAATTTACTAAATGTGTCAGCTTTTAACCTTAAGCCCTCTATGAAAAAATATTCAATTTTGCAACTTCAAAATCCACATCTATTTCCTGTTTATTTCTTGCTGTTTTACATGAAAAGGGCTTTACCCTTTTTCCATCTTCCCCCAGATAAATTTCCATGTTCCAAATACACCATGCCAAAGGCTGTTTACTCCTTGCGGAACATTTGCAAAATTCATTGCGAAATTTCTATGTCGAAACCTCATTTATAATTACAATTCGATTTTCCTCTATTTTTATCCGGCGAAACTTTTCAGAAAACAAACCACCCTGCTTTTGAGCGGAAAATACGTTGAATAAAACGAGTTATTAAATTTTTGATTATTTGCAGTTTATGTTAAGGGATTATCTTACATGTGAGTTTAAAAAACGTCCAAAAAACAAAACTTAATAAAGTCCATTTATCTTCTTCCATGCATAAAAATGCTGACTTGAAGATCGGCATTAATTTAAATTAATATGTTAGTGTGTGCTCAAGTACGGTATATTTTTTCATTAGCTAGTTGTTTTTTTTAGGAAAGAGGAGAGAGAGAGAGGAGAGAGAGAGAGAGAGAGAGAGAGAGAGAGAGAGAGAGAGAGAGAGAGAGAGAGAGAGAGAGACGAACAGCCATTGGAACAGTTAATATATGCAAGGAAATATTCAGAAAAAACAGCTTGACCATGCTTTTCCTCTTCTGAACAGCAGGTTCAACAAGAGGCAGAAGAGCCTCGATTTCAAAGATTTTGTCTAGAATAAAATTTTACATTGAAATGTTTTGAACAGGTCTAGTCTTATATATTTGGTTTTATAATTCTACTCGAGTCTTTCGAGAGTATCTGAGCTTTCCACTGGCCTAGTGCCCGATTTTCCATCCGAATGTTTTGCCTGATGTTGAAAATCTCAAATTTCTCTGGACCGTCTTTGCGAATGTCTCGAGAATGCCCGTGTAGATTACGGCATATTTGGGGATCAGATAGAGGGGCAAGGTTGAACAGATACGTCCGGTCAGAGATAGCTTTAAAAGTCTCTAGAACGACAACGGCTTCGGGTTAAAAAAATTACATACGCGATTGATGATTAGGTCTTTTTTGTTACAATTTACACGCTATCAAAAAATAATCATTTACTAATGGGCTTTTTAGCACGTGGGTACTGAACCGGCCTAAGGTTGACGACGGACTGACATCCTAGGAACTTCATTGAAAAACGCAGAGCTTCAAAAATAAATAATTACTAACCGAAGATTTTCAGCACTATCGAAAAGAAGTATGCTCAAACACACTCACATACTCACAAACTCGAGAAATCCATTTATACTTAATGGTTCTACTATAATAAAATAATTACTATAATTTAAACTACGAGTTTTTTAAATGAAAATCGCCCAGAAAAATCTAGCCCAGAAGATTTAAGAAGCCTTCGATTGCCCCAAATCTTCTGTCTAGCCCCGCTGTTTCTGGAATTTCACCACCTATACTCAGTGTTTTTTTTTGTCGGTTCAGAGATGAAATACAGCGAGACTCAGCAGTCCGGACGAGCGAATCCGTTTACAACAAAAAAGTGTTTTGTTTTAATCTGGGTAAAACATCAGATTTGAAATTGTATAAGATATCAAAGCTCAAACCTTTGGCTATATTAAGGAAAGATGGAGGGTATTAGAAGAACAAAATAAAAGGCGTTCAAAAGACTATATGAAATTTGATATTTTTTAAAGATATTATTAATAAAAATATAATCTATTATAAAAAACAACATGGCAGAACACAAGCTTAACGTTCTAATATCGCGGTCCGGTTGGTATAGCTGTTTAGTTCAGGCGTTTCAAAATGCCCTCAGTTAAAGAGCGCCTTTGCCAAACATTATCTGAAACATAGCGAGACTAAGTGTGCCAGAATTGATCGTTTAGTTTTAATTTTGGCTGTTCATTTATTGTTTTTTATTATGGTTAATCGAAACTGATTTCAAGTCAAACCTTGGCATTGAAAATGACTTCAAACAGAATTTGTTATTAGTTATTTTCCATTCTCACGTTTATAAACAAAATTTGAAATATTTTATTTTGAGGTTTCTTTGCCTAGGAATTGCTTTTAATCAGGACTCTACAGGTTTTTTAATGGTTTTATTGTGGAAATATTTGTCCAAAACACGTTTCGTGTTTTCCAACCTTACAGCTTTAAGCGTGGCGAATTTTTTTTTTTAAATCAGCGCTGACATCAAGCATTTTAATCTATTAAGCTCCCGATCCTACCTCAAGATCGTCTGAAAAGAAATTATATAATTTGCTGGAAGACTTATCGGAGAAATCGGTGCCTCAAGGGCGGCCAGGGTCTAGCCAAATGTCGCTATTTGAAAAATTTGAAGCCGTGGTTGTTCATGTGCGTCGTCTACATTAACAAAAAAATTCTCGCAGTGTACGAATTTGTCTCTTAAAAATCCCTTAATTAAATTTATCCTTATTATTTTTATTTTTGTAATTCTCCAGGGTTCTTAACGAAAGAGAGTTTCGCTCAAGTTTGTCGCATTGATGAAAGTTTCGGCCCTGCATCTGACTAAACCAGTTTTTTTACAACATAGCCCCACGTGACTTTCCAATGCCCGTTACCTTGCTGAATTAGTATAATACGTTGAAAAAGTCACGAATAGAGTAAATTTGGTTTGTTTTCAACTGGTACGAATAAACATCAATTGAAGAAAAAACCTATAAGTGGTTCAATTTCTCTTTATCTCTCAATATCATTATCTGGTGAATTTTTAAAAAATTTTCATTCGTTTTCAGGTATAAGCTCGACTCGGATCGTTTGTATTATGCCGTCGGGGTCCGTCATGTCTGTCAGCCTAACTGCCGCCTGCCTGTCTACCATAGCTGCAAGATTCGGTTTAAGGTATCTACACATTTTTTTCTTTTTTATATCAAAACTTAAAATTAAATTTTGGAGCGTTTTATTGTTTCCATACCAAAGAAAACGGCATTACAACTGGGAAGGTCCAATATATTCCAAAGTCTTCTCAGTTCTACTACATTTTAAAAGTATTTGACAAAAGAACGCTTTTCAAATTACATCAAAATATCATAACCCTATATTATTGAAAACTTGTCTAGTCAGTCAATTTTGAAAACACAAACTTCTGAAAGCATTTTTTAAATTAAGATATGCCGAAATAAATGCTCTATTCTTCGAAGAAATCTTCCACTCTTACGGACATGGTGCAAGATGCGTGAGTTTGATTTCTGTTTTTTCAATTGAGAGAGTTTGACCAAACGGTGTATTTCGTCGTTTGAAATAAAACCAACGCAAGTCCCACCAATATTTTGTGGCCTGACTGTAAAATTCTGGCTTCAATACTATACAAAATACATTTTAAAAATGCCCCTGGTCGCTTTGAAGACAAACAACAAAGATAAAATTGGTTTATTGTGTTCTGAAAAATGCAGAACATAAAGTTCATCAACTTCCAAGCAACTGGTCGATGAAGTTGGAAATTTTACAATTTTTGACTTTCTGCACCTTCTGACCTACTCTATACCTATATGCACCCTATAAATAATTCCATTAGACTTTGGTTTTTGTTGGAAATTGCTTGTATACTGAAGGAAAATTCACAACTTAAGGATGTGAGCATCAGAGCTAGCTTAGCTTAGCTTAGTTAGCTAGCTAGCTTTACCTACGGCACTCCTATATCTCAAATATCTCCAGCATTTTGTGAGTAGTTTTTTCATATTTAAACTTACATCTTTTCAAAATGGTGTACACATTTGGCTTTGACGTTGTGGACATGGCGATATACAAAACATCTCCTAGCCTAACCAGTAACTAACCTTTTACTGTAAACCACCTTTGACGTTTCTCGATATGCAACAACTGCCACAGCGTATGTCTCACGATGAATCAACTCTTAGAAGTATTTTAAGAAATAAGTTGAAAACAAACGACTTCATCTCGCATTAATTTAACTCTTGAGCGAACTCACCTGCTCATGTTTAACAGACGAGAGTAGAATCGCTAATTAGAGGATCTAATGGCCATCAGTCGCTCAAAAATATTATAAACAATAAATAATCACAGATTTTGTAATAGAGATTGTACTAGAACATCTATTTGAAGCTCTTTATTTTTTAAATAAAAAACTTGATAACTTTAACCTCTTCATCACCATCTTTCTCTCTTTCTTTCACTTTATTTATTCCTTTCTTGCTCTCTGTCTGTCTGTTACTCTCTCTCACACCCTCTCTCTGTCTGTCTCTCTCTTTCTCATTTTCTTTCTCTTCCTCCCTCTCTCTCTCTCTCTCTATTTCTCTCTCTTAATCATTTTCTCTCCCCCTCTCTCTTTTATGCTGAGTCTCTTCCCCAGTTCTCTCTCTCTCTCTCTCTATCTATCTATCTATCTATCTATCTATATTGAACTCGAATATTAACTAAGATTGTATAAATCTGAATTATACAAATGTCACACAAATTAACACAGAATAAAAAAAATGCATTGTTTGTAATTGTATAAAATTATGCCGTTGAATGTTAGAGTGGTCAGTGTATGACCAAATTCTGCGACAGTAAATCAAACCGCATTTATTCTTTCTCTCTATCTCTTTCATCTCTTTCTTTTCATTCTCCTTCTTCTCTCCCTCTATTTCTTTTTCTCTCTCTCTTTCTTTCTCTCCCCTCTCACTTTCTATCCCTCATTCTTTCTCTCTTTTTTCCCCCTTCTCTCTCTCTCTCTCTCTCTCTCTCTCTTTTTTTGTTTTTACAAGGGTTTGCACAACAGAGGTCATATAAACCCTCAGGGGCCGTTTTTGAAAAAAAAGCTCATTTGTAAGTATGTCGGGTTCGAATGCAGGGCCGCTGGATTCGAACCCGGGACCTTTACCTTACAGTGAAGAGCGCCGTGTCAACGCCTAAACTGTTGCGGCCACCGTCGCCCCCCTAATACTTGCTATTATCATGAAAATAGTACGATTATATACAAGCATGGTACAGGCATCTGCTGGAGGTCGTTGTTAAAGTAGAAACATAAATTTTGTTACATGTTTATTATTATATAGTTCTGGGTTTTAATTGAAGTCGGCAATTTTTAAAAATGGCCAAGCGAAACGTGACGGTTACAAATTTTAATCGAACCGTCGCAGGCGTGACCGTGGCAAACTCGCTCGCGGATGTCAGACCCTTTCCTCTTATCAACTTAAGATATAATTAGTTAAAACCCCATGTGAAAATACTAATCCAGTCACGATGGATCATAACATATGATGACGTACGTTTATTGAAATCTGTTTTGAACAATTTGTCAATTTTTTACATCTGCTTCTGTTGATTGTTTCCGCTATTAAAAGTTTTCAACAGATCCTGAGTATTTTTTGGTTAAGTTAGGCAAATGCCAACCAAACAAACCTTTTAAATCCTTAGAAATGATGAATGGTGGAATGAGTGCGGTGTTCAATTCTTTTTAAAAAGATAGTTCCTACTCACAGTAAGCGTACTAACTGTGAGTAGGAACTATTTTTTTTAAAGGATTTAAATCCTTGGTTTGCAGCTTTGTACTGGAATTTTATCACTTAAAAACTATGTTATTAAGATGCACAAATCGTTTAGAATAAAAATAAATTTAATATTGCATAGTCTAGCATATTAATATATGGAAATTATTTGTAATGCTTTTTGCTTTTTTTTTAAAATAAAATGAGGTGTAAATTCTGTTGAAACTTGGTGATTGACAATAAAAAATTGATATAGAAAAAAGTAGTGCTAATATATAACAAAATCGACCCGACTGCTCAGGAGCGTTCCGGTCTAGTTGAGGCAAGTAGTGAATAATCCTTTCGTCCGTAAATATAATTTGAAGTTGTAAGTAGCCAACCGAGAAAAATTAAACAATCAGGGCTGACTGGGCTTTTTTCGTTTTATCTGATGGTGTAAAAAAATGGGACACTGTAGTTAAATGATGTAATAAAATATAACACATATTTGCCCATTTAAATCCGAACTATATTATCTGGCTAAAGGATTTCGGTAAAAAATTATTAATAGAAAGTCCAAATTATTTTTCTTGATAAAGTAATCAAGCATCTTGCGAAAGATGTCCAACTTTTTTGCTTAACAGAACATTACAATTCAGACACAGATGATCAGGAGAAAAAACAAACAGATACAGATGTGGACAAAAAAATGTAATTTAATGTAAATTAACGTAAATAAGGAGTTGTTTCCATGAAGGAACCCTCTCCTCTTTGCTATCGTAAATTTCTTGATAACAATAAATCTGTTATATAAAGAAGAGAAAAACGTAGAGCGCCGTGGAAAAAAAATCAATGGGCCCGTATCAGTGTGATTAACCCGAAAAGTATCGTGCAGGAATATAAATTTCGACATTTTTTTTTTTTTGGTACGATATCCATTGGCCGAAAATGCCGATATTGTAACGAGCTTACGTAAGGGAGGACCGGCATGTTAATTTAATTTATTCCATGGGCAGTCTTTTCGTTGTTTTATCTTTGTAATTAGATTTTATTACCATCTCTTACCATCGGGTAGATCAAGAACTGCTCCATACCGATGCTGTCAAAATTTTCCATTGATTAGTTTCAATTAGAGAAAGGGATAAGAAAATAACAACCATAGAAAATAACAAATACAAATGTAACTAATATTCATTCTATAAGACATTTTTATGATTAATATAACAAGCAACTAAGTCAGTCAATAATAATTGTTACAAGAGAACAATGTAGTGAAATTTACATATATTATAGGTCGACGCGTATAAATTTAACGAGATATTTGTTGAGTATGGTGGTTTGGTTGAATTTGAAAGGTGAAATTCAAAACAGAAACTGCGTATGATGTGCTGTCAAAAGGGCGACATAAATGACTTCTTTTACAACTAACGAGAATAAAGAGATTGACAGAGAGAGCGAGAAAGAAAGAAAGAGAGAGAGAGAGAGAGAGAGAGAGAGAGAGAGAGAGAGAGAAAGAGCGAGTGAGAAGAAAGAGATAGAGATAGAGAGAGGTCAGGAAAGAGTAAGTGAGAGAGCGAGAGAGAGAGTGAGAGAGAGAGAGAGAGAGAGAGAGAGAGAGAGAGAGAATGAGCGAGAGAAGCTGAATTTGGAGAGATTGACTATGCATAAAAAATTAATTAACTTGTTCGAATTGGTGGTGTATTTTGACATTTTGACTAAAATGGCCTATTCTGTTTATGGGACTGAAATTATATTAAGAAAAGTCTAAATTGTAAAAAATAAATTCATTAAAAGCCAAATTTTATTTGATTTGCTTAGAATGAATTTTCATTTAAAAAAATAACTTGTTTGGCTGACTATTTGAAACTGTTAGCTAAACTTGTTGGAATTTGAAATTTTGGCTAAAATTATCTAATCTGATGATGGCGCACTGCAATGAAACTCTGAATTTGGTGAATCTAAATCTACATTCTAGTAGACGAGGTGAAATTGGTGAGGTCGGTGATTCTATTAAAACACATACTTGCCACTTTTGGCGGGGTTTCTATTCTAAATTGTGACAATTTGGTCGTTACTGGTGCTTGAACAGACAAAACCAGCGAGGATAGGCAGGCCAAAGTATTTGACGAACAAATTCCAGGTTCAACCCACAAACCACGCAGAGATTTTGACGCAGTTTTTAAGAATTTCAAGTCTGCAGGCACTACTTTATTTATTTTCAGGTTTCTTGTTTGACTTCTTTACTATTAGTACTTCCTATTCTTAGTATTATTTTGAATATATGGAGTGTCGTTAGGATTGGGCAAACTGAAGGGCCAGGCGTGTAAAATCATTGCTGCTGTTTTTGTTTGTGTTTTCACGAAATTAATAAGTCGGTCACAGTACGATTGAGAAGTAATGAACTTCACCTTGGGGCCAGAAGGAATAATGGGC